ATGCACTTTATGCAGCATCATGGTTAGGCCATGAGGCAATTGCAAAGCTGCTGGTAGAAAAGGGGGCAGATGTGAATGCACAGAGAGGATACTATGGGAATGCACTTTATGCAGCATCATGCACAGGCCATGTGGCAATTGCAAAGCTGTTGATAGAGAAGGGGGCAGATATAAATGCAGAAGGAGGATACTATGGGAATGCACTTCATGCAGCATCATATATAGGCCATGAGGCCATTGCAAAGCTGCTGATAGACATGGGAGCAGATATAAATGCACAGGGGGTATATGGCCACACACTTTATGCAGCATCATGGACTGGCCATGACACCATTGTAAAGCTGCTGATACACAAGGGGGCAGATGTAAATTCACAAAGAGGATACTATGGGAATGCACTCCAGGCAGCATCATATACAGGCCATGAGGCCATTGCAAAACTTCTGATAGAGAACAATGCAGATGTAACTGCACAGGGAGGAGTATATGGGAATGCACTCCAGACAGCATCATACAGAGGTTATGAGGCAATTGTAAAGTTGTTGATAGAAAATGCTGCAGATGTAAATGCACAGGGAGGATACTATGGGAATGCACTCCAGGCAGCATCATGTACAGGACATGAGGCCATTGTAAAGCTGCTGATAGGCAAGGGAGCAGATGTAAATGCACAGGGAGGATACTATGGGAATGCACTTCATGCAGCATCATGCACAGATCATGCAGAAATTGCACAGCTGTTGATAGACAAGGGGGCAGATATGTATGCATAGGTCAAGTAAGGACTATTAGGCAATTGCAAAGCTGCTGATCGACAAGATGGCATAGGTACATATATTGGCCATGTCAGGTACACTCAGGGCATTAGGTAATTATCATATGGACTTACAAACATTTGTTGGAAAATCATTACCATGACAAGAAAAATATCTATGATGTGGGAATCTCTCAAACAAGGTCAATACAGAAGTATTCCTGGTTTGATTTATTTATTTATTGATGTTCATTGTTTAAATGTGTGATCTTGAATGAAGGTTTTGGCATGGTAGGACATTTGATATCTCATATTTAAATGTAGCTGGAAAGATAGCACTAGTCATAGAAGACTCTCAGAATTTAACTGCTTATATGTTTCTGGTGGTTTGAGATACAGAGGAATGAAATATAAGAAAAAGAGAATTCAAAGATTATGGCAGAAATCAAGCTACATATATGTATATGTGAAGGAGAGGTCCAAATAGTGTGAAGGTGATGATAAAAAAGGCTTGATCAGATAATCACCCTCAGAGAGTTAAAGAATTCAATTTTTTTGGCTCAATTTAATGCAACTTTTATGGTATCTAGAAGAGGTCTTTACCTTCCCCAGGTTATTCCATATGGAATCCATGGAATGAATGTTGGCTGAGACCCCAGCCAATTTCTTATTCCATGAACATCATGGATTCCATGTGGAATGATGATGGAATGGTCATGGAATGATTAATTCCATATGGAATTCACATGGATTCCACTGGATTCCATGGAACACCATCATACCATCAGAATACATATAAATGGTAGTATTTACAGTGTTCTTACTATTTTAAATAAAAAATAAATTTTGCCATTTCAAAGCATTGAACCCTCAACATCAGCAACAATATATTAAAGCCCACTGAGCCACAAAGGCTTTGCTACAGGGAAAACAAAAGGACTATATAACCCACCCTCAGTGTGTACTTTACACTCCCCCACACACTCCGGTTGGACTCCACTTGGACTCTGTTCAGTCCAGGTGGAGTCTACCTCAAATAGAACTAAATGTATATTTTTTGGATCATCAAGCCGGAGTCCATCTGGAGTCTGCATAGACTCTGTCTGGACTCTCTCAGACTTTCAGATGGACACTGGACAGACTGGACTGGACTGGACTAGAGTGGACTGCCAGACCTTAAGCTAATAATTAAGCAACTTAGATTTCATGAGACAAAGAAAATTGAAGTATATTAGTAACTAAATAAGTTAATTTTACTACATTCTATGTTACAGAGAGGGGGGAAGAAGTGGGGGGGAGGGAGTGGTGATCAGGAAGGGAGGGGGGAGGGAAAGGGAGAAGGGAAAGAGGAATGGAGGGAGGGGGTTGAGAGGAATGGAGGGGGACAGAGGAATGGAGGGGGAGGGAAAGGAAGGGAGAAGGGAGGGAGGAATGGAGGGGGGAGGGAAAGGGAGAAGGGAAAGAGGAATGGAGGGAGGGGGTTGAGAGGAATGGAGGGGGACAGAGGAATGGAGGGGAGGGGAAAGGGAGAAGGGAGAGTGGAATGGAGGGAGAGTGGAAGGGAGGGAGAGGGGGGAGAGAGAGGAATGGAGGGGGGAGAGAGGAATGGAAGGGGCAGGGAGTGGTGAGCAGCATGGGAAGGGGTGGTGAGTAATGAAGGGGCAAGGAGTGGTGGTGCTTGGCCCTCATCGCATCCTGCATGGGTGTTGTGTTGTCATCCCAGGGTGGCCATTCGTTGTCATCACATGTTTTGATTGTCATGTGTTGTTGTTGTTGTTGCATGTTGTCATCATTGTGTGTCATTGTCCTCACATGTCATCATTGTTGCATTTTGTTGACATTGTTGTCACATGTTGTTGTCTTCATGTGTCATTGTCATCATTGTTGTGTGTCATTGTTGTTGTGTTTTGTTGTCCTCACATGTAGTGATGCTGCATTTTTTAGCTGGTAAATTCTTGTTTTGCTTATAGAGAGCAAAGTTATTATTTGAACTTTACGTTCTTGGACTCTCCAGATAGATAGAAAGTAGATCTAAATTATAAAAAAAAGAACATAAAAAAGCATTATGTTTTCATTGAGCTATTTATGTTTAGCTGGTCACCAAGTCACAGCTCAAATGAGCCAGCTTTTTTTCAAAGCTGGTTGAATATCTCAATCAAATCTTGGTCGTTCTTGGCAATCTTTTTTAAAAAATTTAGATCTACTTCTCATCTACATGGAAAGTCTAAGAACATAAAATTTGAGTGAAAAATCTGCTCTGTATAAACCAAACAAAAAATAAGCCGTTAAAAAAACATGGCAATACTACTCACATGTCATTGTTGTTGTCGCCACATGTCATTGTCCTCGTGTGTCATTGTTGTCACGTGTCGTGGGTGGTGCTGGGTCACCATTGCCATCCTGTGGCCTTGGTGGTGGTCGTGGGCCGTTGTTGGCATTGGTGGGGTGTGGTGTTGTTGTGTGGGGTTGCCGTTGTCATGAGGTTGGTTTGAACAAGGTGCAGTGGTTGGGTGTGTCAAATGAGGTTGGATACAGTGGGAAGGTGGTGGTGGGAAGACAAAAGACAGCAACGTGGCAACAAAGCCAATATGTTTGGCCAGCTTTTGGAATGTGCTGGGAGTGAGGGTATATGATGTGTCAAAATTGTGTAGCTACTAAAGCCTTCATGGTGTAGTAGTTTATTGCAGCAGTAAAAGCTGCCCAAATGATTGAGTGTTCAATTCCTGGTCATGGCATTCTTTTTTCCTTGTCTAATAATAATAATAATAAATAAACAGAAATTGTAAACTCTTGCTGGACTCCATATGGAGTCTGGCTGGTTGACTGTGTTTTGAGGTGGAGTCCATGCAGTCCAGATGGTGGACCTGGAGTCCAGGTGGATCCTAGACTAACATTTGGCTGGGTTGCCACCAAAGAAAAAATACTGGATGAACAGCAGCAACCCATCTGGAGTCTGCTGGAGTCCATCTGGAGTCCAACCAGAATATGTGGGGGAGTGCAAAGTCCTCTTTGATACAGTTGAGTGCAAAAAGAATGAAGGTTGGTTCATTTTTCTGGTTCTTTCTAAGAATCTATTGTACCTCAAATGTATTTGTGTATTCTTTTACATCATGTAGTTGTGTTACACTTCCCTTGGTATGGACTAATTTCAGTGAAAGCTGGAGCCTTGAGAAGGTTTTTATTCTGGAGGCCATTTTTGGCATCTGAAAAAAAAAATATGCACTAACTGGGGAGGTAGCCAGAACATACCTCTGGTCAACCTGAATGAGCCTATCAAAGAATCAGTCAAAGGCAATGAGCAGTTAGGTCTGTAGAGGCTTGGAAAATGGCT